GTCAAGACCCCCGCATTTACTTCTCTTACAACCCCATCTATAAAAATTAAACAAACCCCGGGACATCACACATCCTTGCTTAGCCTACTTTTTTGGGAATAATTTCCCTCTTTCCTATGTACTCTAACTTAGCCTCACATCCTCTAAAAAAATCTTCCTGCTTTCATAACCTACCTCCACACCCTACACCTGCAACTTGCCCCATTTCCCCCCCCATCCACCCTTCCACCAGGGGTTTAAGTGAACATATAAGTAACAGATTTAATAAGGCTAAAGAGGGCTTTGTGGATTTATGGGTTTTGGGAAAAAGGGGTATGACAGGGTGGATAAGGGGGGCAATGTGGGAATGTTGCAAGTGTTGGGTAGGAGGTAGGTTACTGAAAGCATGAAGAGTTTTTAGAGGATAGTGAGGCTCAAGTTAGAGTATGTAGAAAGAGGGAAATTTTTTCCCAGTAAAAGTAGGCCTTAGACAAGGATGTGTGATGTCACCGTGGTTGTTTAATATATTTATAGATGGGGTTGTAAGAGAAGTAAATGCGAGGGTCCTTGGCAAGAGGCGTGGAGTTAAAAGATAAAGAATCACACACAAAGTGGGAGTTGTCACAGCTGCTCTTTGCTGATGACACTGTGCTCTTGGGAGATTCTGAAGAGAAGTTGCAGAGATTGGTGGATGAATTTGGTAGGGTGTGCAAAAGAAGAAAATTAAAGGTGAATACAGGAAAGAGTAAGGTTATGAGGATAACAAAAAGATTAGGTGATGAAAGATTGAATATCAGATTGGAGGGAGAGAGTATGGAGGAGGTGAACGTATTCAGTATTTGGGAGTGGAGTGTCAGCGGATGGGTCTATGAAAGATGAGGTGAATCATAGAATTGATGAGGGAAAAAGTAGTGAGTGGTGCACTTAGGAGTCTGTGGAGACAAAGAAACTTTGTCCTTGGAGGCAAAGAGGGGAATGTATGAGAGTATAGTTTTACCAACGCTCTTATATGGGTGTGAAGCGTGGGTGATGAATGTTGCAGCGAGGAGAAGGCTGGAGGCAGTGGAGATGTCATGTCTGAGGGCAATGTGTGGTGTGAATATAATGCAGAGAATTCGTAGTTTGGAAGTTAGGAGGAGGTGCGGGATTACCAAAACTGTTGTCCAGAGGGCTGAGGAAGGGTTGTTGAGGTGGTTCGGACATGTAGAGAGAATGGAGCGAAACAGAATGACTTCAAGAGTGTATCAGTCTGTAGTGGAAGGAAGACGGGGTAGGGGTCGGCCTAGGAAGGGTTGGAGGAGGGGGTAAAGGAGGTTTTGTGTGCGAGGGGCTTGGACTTCCAGCAGGCATGCGTGAGCGTGTTTGATAGGAGTGAATGGAGACAAATGGTTTTTAATACTTGACGTGCTGTTGGAGTGTGAGCAAAGTAACATTTATGAAGGGATTCAGGGAAACCGGCAGGCCGGACTTGAGTTCTGGAGATGGGAAGTACAGTGCCTGCACTCTGAAGGAGGGGTGTTAATGTTGCAGTTTAAAAACTGTAGTGTAAAGCACCCTTCTGGCAAGACAGTGATGGAGTGAATGATGGTGAAAGTTTTTCCTTTTCGGGCCACCCTGCCTTGGTGGGAATCGGCCGGTGTGATAATAAAAAAAAATATATATGTTTCACTGTAAACACCTGGTCCACACACCCCCTACCTTTCCTAAAGCCTTCTTGTTCATCTGCTATCCTATTCTCAGTCTTACTTTTAATTCTTTCAATAATAACTCTACCATACACTTTACCAGTATACTCAACAGACTTATCCCCCTATAATTTTTGCACTCTCTTTTGTCCCCTTTGCCTTTATACAAAGGAACTATGCATGCTCTCTGCCAATCCCTAGGTACCTTACCCTCTTCCATACATTATATTAAATAATTGCACCAACCACTCCAAAACTATATCCCCACCTGCTTTTAACATTTCTATCTTTATCCCATCAATCCCAGCTGCCTTACCCCCTTTCATTTTACCTACTGCCTCACGAACTTCCCGCACACTCACAACTGGCTCTTCCTCACTCCTACAAGATGTTATTCCTCCTTGCCCTATACACGAAATCACAGCTTCCCTATCTTCATCAACATTTAACAATTCCTCAAAATATTCCCTCCATCTTCCCAATACCTCTAACTCTCCATTTAATAACTCTCCTCTCCTATTTTAACTGACAAATCCATTTGTTCTCTAGGTTTCCTTAACTTGTTAATCTCACTCCAAAACTTTTTCTTATTTTCAACAAAATTTGTTGATAGCATCTCACCCACTCTCTCATTTGCTCTCTTTTTACATTGCTTCACCACTCTCTTAACCTCTCTCTTTTTCTCCATATACTCTTCCCTCCTTGCATCACTTCTACTTTGTAAAAACTTCTCATATGCTAAACTTTTTCTCCCTTACTACTCTCTTTACATCATCATTCCACCAATCGCTCCTCTTCCCTCCCGCACCCACTTTCTTGTAACCACAAACTTCTGCTGAAAACTCTAACACTACATTTTTAAACCTACCCCATACCTCTTCGACCCCATTGCCTATGCTCTCATTAGCCCATCTATCCTCCAATAGCTGTTTATATCTTTCCCTAACTGCCTCCTCTTTAGTTTATAAACCTTCACCTCTCTCTTTCCCTGATGCTTCTATTCTCCTTGTATCCCATCTACCTTTTACTCTCAGTGTAGCTACAACTAGAAAGTGATCTGATATATCTGTGGCCCCTCTATAAACATGTACATCCTGAAGTCTACTCAACAGTCTTTTATCTACCAATACATAATCCAACAAACTACTGTCATTTCGCCCTACATCATATCTTGTATACTTATTTATCCTCTTTTTCTTAAAATATGTATTACCTATAACTAAACCCCTTTCTATACAAAGTTCAACCAAAGGGCTCCCATTATCATTTACACCTGGCACCCCAAAACTTACCTACCACACCCTCTCTAAAATTTTCTCCTACTTTAGCATTCAGGTCCCCTACCACAATTACTCTCTCACTTGGTTCAAAGGCTCCTATACATTCACTTAACATCTCCCAAAATCTCTCTCTCTCCTCTGCATTCCTCTCTTCTCCAGGTGCATACACGCTTATTATGATCCAGTTCTCGCATCCAACATAAGTTATGTGAACAAATAAAATAGTGAAAAAAACAACGAACCTTCAATTACAAGTAAACCAAAGTTTACCGGGTGAGCGGCAGCCGCCGCTGTTGCTATACACAGCTCATTTCAGTACTCGGTAAGTACTGATGGCAAAAAAAATTTTTGGGGACTAAAACACTCAGAAAAATAATCTTAACATTTTCATAAGAAAAAATAATTTTTTTTTTCGAATATTTTGTGGCATAGAATGACAGTTTCAGAAAGGGGCCTAAGACAGTCAAAGGGTTAACCCTTTGACTGTCGAGGCCGTATATATAAGTCTTACGAGGTACCGGGTTTGACGTATATATACTCATAAATTCTAGCGGCTTCAAATCAAGCAGGAGAAAGATGGTAGGCCCACATGTGAGAGAATGGGTCTGTGTGGTCAGTGTGCACCATATAAAAAAAATCCTGGAGCATGCAGTGCATAATGAGAAAAAAAAACTCCGACCTTTTTTTTTTTTTTTTTTTTAATTAAAATGCCGACTTTGTGGTCTATTTTCGTGTAGTATTTATGGTTGTATTCTCGTTTTCTTGGTCTCATTTGATAGAATGGAAAACATATTATAGAAATAGAGGTGATTTTTATTGATTTTACTATAAAAAGAACCTGGAAATGGAGCTCAAAATAGGGGAAATGTTTGATTTTTGCCAATGTTCAAAAGTAAACAAATGGTGTCATTGTCCAATAAATGTCCAACTAGCCATTCTAATATGCAGTCATGAATGGGTTGATGTTATTTATACAATTACAGTATTGCAGTAGTCTGCATAATAGTAAGTCTTCTATTTTTTGTTTGAATAAAAATTCAAAATAGAAAGCAAGAGTAATATTAGAGGGGCCTGGAGGCATGACTGATGAACAAAGCAAATGTTATTTTAGAGCGAATGTCTACATTGTTCATTCTGGACCTTATTTTGAAATTGTCATATTTTTTAATTTTCATGAAATTGGCCGAATTGCAAATTTCTGACCACATTATTGGGTAGATGAAATCGGTAAATGGGCAGTTTCTTGTACTTAATCAATAGAAAAAATGGAGTTCTAAAGAAAAGCTATGAGTTTGGTCTACTGGAACAATGGAATTAGCCAAAAATAGGGCTCAAAGTGGGCGAAATCGCCGATTTGTAAATATCGCCGATGTCGCTGACTTCGCGAGAGCGTAATTCTGTCAGTTTTCCATCAAATTTTTTTTTTTTTTTTTGGTGTCATTACAATCCGGAAAAGATTCTCTATCATTTCATAAGAAATTTTTTTTTTTTTTTTTTTTTAAATTTTGCGACACCAGGAGACACCTCAGGATTGGGGGTTGCGACAGTCAAGGGATTAGTGATGAAATTTATTAAAAAACGTAATACAGTGGTACCTCGAGTTTCGAACAGCTCCCAACTCGATCAGTTATATAAGTGTAATTTTGTAAGTGCTTTTGTAAGTGTATTTTTGGGGGTCTGAAACGAACTAATCTAATTTACATTATTCCTTATGGGAACAAATTCGTCCGGTGTCGGCACCCGAACAGCCTTCTGGAACGAATTAAGTTCGTAACTCGAGGTACCACTTCACTCACCAAAGATGGGTCCATTGTTTAGTAGAGGCATGGTGGTGTTATACCTCCTGCTTTGTAAGTGCATAACACAAAAATATTTAATTTCTTTTAAAACATCACAAAGTATTACATTGTGTTTTTGTTATTGTTGGGTTGATGGGTTGTGACTGCTCCTATGATGACTGTTGTTGATTTTTATAACATGTTTATAGCTTTGAAAATATTGCTGCTTCATTATCAGTTTTGTGTCTAAGTCTGATTTTGCTATTTTAATCCCTCAGAATGCACAGACTCATAAACTTCATAGAAGACAGAGTGAACAAATTCTTCGTGAGAGAAGAATTTCAGAGGAGCCACAATTATTAATGGAAAATTTTGGTAGGCGGATGAGCGAAACTAATATTCAAGTGAGGAGATCCTCTCATGGAAGCACAGTTTCTCAGGTATCTTTACTGTATTGTAGAGTAACCCTCAATACAATACACTTTTCAAATAATGGGCAAAATCTATTGTGTAAATCACATTTTTAACCCTTTGACTGTCAAAAGGCACAATCCTGAAGTGTCTCCTGGTGTCGCAAAATATTTGAAAAAAAAAAAATTATTTTTTTCATATGAAAATGTTAAGATTATTTTTCTGATTGTTTTAGTCCAAAAAAAAAAAACAATTCCCACCAGTACTTACTCAGATATTGAGGCATGAAGTTTTGCAGAAGAAATGAGCCGCATATGGCAACAGCGGCTACTGCCGCTCACCCGGTAAACTTTGGTTTACTTGTATATGAAGGTTTGTTGTTTTTTTCACTATTTTATTTTTTCACATAACTTATGTGGCCTGTGAGACCAAAGTAAGGTGCAATGTACATATATACACTCGTTGTATACAACACAATAAATCCGAGTGGGGATCTGTAACAAGTGGCGTTCCACAGGGATCAGTCTTGGGCCCGTTGTTGTTTATAATACAGTGGACCCCCGGTTAATGAAATTTTTTCATTCCAGTAGTATGTTCAGGTGCCAGTACTGACCGAATTTTTTCCCATAAGGAATATTGTGAAGTAGATTAGTCCATTTCAGACCCCCAAACATACACGTACAAACGCACTTACATAAATATACTTACATAATTGGTCGCATTTGGAGGTGATCGTTAAGCGGGGGTCCACTGTATATATCAATGATCTTGATGAGGGAATTACTAGTGATATGAGCAAATTCGCCGATGACACAAAGATAGGTAGGATAATTGATTCAAACGTAGATGTTATGGAACTTAAGGAGGATTTAAACAAACTCTATTCTTGGTCAGAAAAGTGGCAGATGCAGTTCAATGTAGATAAATGCAAGGTTCTGAAGCTTGGGAGTGCCCATAACCCTAGTACTTATAAGTTAAATGATGTAGAACTTAGCCATACAGATTGCGAAAAGGACTTGGGGGTTATGGTGAGGCAGCAACCTTAAACCAAGACAGCAATGCCTAAGCGTACGTAATAAGGCAAATAGATTACTGGGATTTATATCAAGAAGTGTAAGCAACAGAAGTCCAGAGGTCATACTGCAGCTTTATACATCATTAGTAAGGCCTCACCTAGATTATGCTAGCTCAGTTTGGTCTCCGTATTACAAAATGGACATAAATTCGTTAGAAAACATTCAGCGTAGGATGACTAAATTAATACATGGCATTAGAAATCTTCCTTATGAAGAAAGATTGAAGACTCTTAAGTTACATTCACTTGTTAGACGAAAAATGAGGGGAGACCTGATCGAAGTGTATAAGTGGAAGATAGGTATTAATAAAGGGGATATTAATAAGGTCTTGAGGATGTCTCTCCAAGAGAGAACCCACAGTAATGGATTTAAATTAGATAAGTTTAGATTAGAAAGGACATAGGAAAGTTTTGGGTTTGGAAATAGGGTAGTTGATGAGTGGAACAGTCTACCTAGTTGGGTTATTGAGGCTGGGACTTTGGGTAGTTTCAAATCTAGGTTGGATAAGTACATGAGTGGGGGGGGGGGGTTGGATTTGAGTGGGACTTTCACATCAGAGCTTATTTCTTGGGTGGCATTGAAAATTGGGTTGGGCAAATGTTTTGTTAGTGGGATGAATTGTAAAGGACCTGCCTAGTATGGGCCAGCAGGCCTCCTCCAGTGTTCCTCCTTTCTTATGTTCTTATGTTCTTATATTGTTTACAAAAGCAAACAATACAAAAAATTTTTTATTACTATTGTTCTATAATCTTCTTTCTTTCAACACACCGGCCATATCCCACCAAGGCAGGGTGGCCCAAAAAGAAAAACGAAAGTTTATCTTTTTTTTTTTTTTTTTTTTTTTTTTTTTTTTTTTTTTTTTTTCAACAAGTTGGTCGTCTCCCTCCGAGGCAGGGTGACCCAAAAAAGAAAGAAAATCCCCAAAAAGAAAATGCTTTCATCATCATTCAACACTTTCACAACACTCACACATTATCACTGCTTTTGCAGAGGTGCTCAGAATACAACAGTTTAGAAGCATATACGTATAAAGATACACAACATATCCCTCCAAACTGCCAATATCCCAAACCCCTCCCTTTTAAAATGCAGCATTGTACTTCCCATTTCCAGGACTCAAGTCCGACTATAAGAAAATAACCGGGTTTTCCCTGAATCCTTCACTAAATATTACCCTGCTCACACTCCAACAGATCGTCAGGTCCCAAGTATCATTCGTCTCCATTCAACTCCTATCTAACACGCTCATGCACGCTTGCTGGAAGTCCAAGCCCCTCGCCCACAAAACCTCCTTACCCCTCTTTCCAACCCTTTCGAGGACGACCCTACCCCTCTTTCCTTCCCTATAGATTTATATGCTTTCCATGTCATTCTACTTTGATCCATTCTCTCTAAATGACCAAACCACCTCAACAACCCCTCTTCTGCCCTCTGACTAATGCTTTTATTAACTCCACACCTTCTCCTAATTTCCACACTCCGAATTTCTGCATAATATTTACACCACACATTGCCCTTAGACATGGACATCTCCACTGCCTCCAACCGTCTCCTCTCGCTGCTGCATTTACCACCCAAGCTTCACATCCATATAAGAGTGTTGGTACTACTATACTTTCATACATTCCCTTCTTTGCCTCCATAGATAACGTTTTTTGACTCCACATATACCTCAACGCACCACTCACCTTTTTTCCCTCATCAATTCTATGATTAACCTCATCCTTCATAAATCCATCCGCCGACACGTCAACTCCCAAGTATCTGAAAACATTCACTTCTTCCATGCTCCTCCTCCCCAATTTGATATCCAATTTTTCTTTATCTAAATCATTTGATACCCTCATCACCTTACTCTTTTCTATGTTCACTTTCAACTTTCTACCTTTACACACACACCTTACTCTTTTCTATGTTCACTTTCAACTTTCTACCTTTACACACATTCTCAAACTCATCCACTAACCTTTGCAATTTTTCTTTAGAATCTCCCATAAGCACAGTATCATCAGCAAAAAGTAACTGCATCAATTCCCATTTTGAATTTGATTCTCCATAATTTAATCCCACCCCTCTCCCGAACACCCTAGCATTTACTTCTTTTACAACCCCATCTATAAATATATTAAACAACCATGGTGACATTACACATCCCTGTCTAAGACCTACTTTTACCGGGAAGTATTCTCCCTCTCTTCTACACACCCTAACCTGAGGCTCACTATCCTCATAAAAGCTCTTTACAGCATTTAGTAACTTACCACCTATTTCATAAACTTGCAACATCTGCCACATTGCTCCTCTATCCACTCTATCATATGCCTTTTCTAAATCCATAAATGCAATAAAAACTTCCCTACCTTTATCTAAATACTGTTCACATATATGCTTCTATGTAAACACTTGATCTACACATCCCCTACCCACTCTGAAGCCTCCTTGCTCATCCGCAATTCTACATTCTGTCTTACCTCTAATTCTCTCAATTATAACTCTACCGTATACTTTTCCTGGTATACTCAGTAAACTTATTCCTCTATAATTTTCAATCTCTTTGTCCCCTTTCCCTTTATATAAAGGGACTATACATGCTCTCCGCCAATCCCTAGGTACCTTCCCCTCTTTCATACATTTATTAAACAAAAGTACCAACCACTCCAACACTATATACCCCCCCTGCTTTAACATTTCTGTCATGATCCCATCAGTTCCAGCTGCTTTACCCCCTTTCATTCTACGTAATGCCTCACGTACCTCCACCACACTTACATTCTGCTCTTCTTCACTCCTAAAAGATGGTATACCTCCCTGGCCAGTGCATGAATTACCGCCTCCCTTTCTTCCTCAACATTTAAAAGTTCCTCAAAATATTCTCGCCATCTGCCTAATACCTCCCTCTCCCCACCCTACTAACCCCCCTATTTTTTTGGTTTTAAAAAACGGACAAAAATCCAACTTTCCCTGGGCTTTCAAAACTTTTTAACTAAATTTCCAAAATTTTTTTTTTTTTTTCATTAAAATTTCTTGACAGGGGCCTCTCCCACTTTTTCATCTTGCTGTCCTTTTGCACCCCTCTCACCACTCTCTTCACCTTTTTTTTAAAACCCCTCCAAATACTCTCTCTTCTTATAACACTACGCTTTGTAAAAACCTCTCGAAAGCAAACCTTTTTCTCTTTTATCACCCCTTTTTTTAAACTTCATCTTCCCCCCAAATTTACTCCTTTTTCCCTCCTGCCCCCACCCTCCTAAAACCAAAAAAACTTCTGCCCCACTTTTCTAATACTGCTTTTTTAAAACTTTCCAACCCTCTTCAACCCCCCCCAACTAAAATTTTTGGGAAAATTTAAGCCCAAACCCCTTTTCTCCAAAAAAAGTCCCTTAATTAAAAAACTTGGGGCCCGAACCCCCCCTCCCCCCTTGTTTAATACACTTTTTCCCTCCCCTTACTTGTTTTGCCACCTTTCCCCTTTTTTTCCCCATCAAACCTTTTTAAACCTCTAACTGTAGCTACAATAAATAATATTAAATAAAATCAGTTCCCCCTCTTTTAAACATGTACATCATGGAGCCTACCCCCTCAACCCTTTTATCCAAACCCAAAACATAAACTAACAAACTACTTTTTATTACATGCTACATCCCTACCCTTTTATATTTTTTTTTATCCTCTTTTTCATTTAAAAAATGTATTTAAATTTTTACCAAATTTTTTTTTCTAAAACAAAGCTCAATTAAAGGCTCCCCCCTTTACATTTACCCCGGCACCCCAAAAATTTTTCCTACTATCTCCTCCATAACATTTTTACCCACTTTTGCATTGAAATCCCCCCAAAAAACCCTTACTCCACACTTTATTCAAAACCCCCATGCATTTACTTTAACATTTTCCCAGAATCTCTCTCTCTCCTCTACACTTCTCTCTTCTCCAGGTGCATATACGCTTACTATAAC